ATTCTGACTTTTTTCCCATGTTAAACTGAAATAAAATTTAAAAATCAGTTTACTTTTTTTTTTCAGTGGCCCTAATCCTCTTCCGTAGGTTTCCATAGGTCATATATATTCAAATGTGTGTTAACTGAATAAAACTGGTTTATTTTAACTTAAAAGAAGTTTAGTTTCTCATATTGGTGAGGCTTGTTTATGTTTTATTATTAAAAATGGTGAAATTATCACCTAAAATGATGCTATGTCCTTTCTTGGTGAACTTTAAAAGAGCTTTAAAAGTGTAAAATGATAAAATATTACGCTGTTATGTAGATTTGTAAATGTATTGTGAAGATATTTTGGTAGGTAAGGTATAAAAGCCTTTGCTTAGGTTGATGTTTGCTTTCCAGTGTTTAATGAAAACATATAAAGTGATTAATAAAAGTAAAAAGTTGATCATATTGACATGTCTACATTAGTGACTGGTGACCTGCTGCTTTTTAATCAATCATTCCTACCTGCAGGTAGTAGATGTTATCTTCGCAGCTCCCCAGCTCCTTCATCTCTCCGTCCCTCCTCTTTCTCTCCTTAATCTCACCCTCCAGACGCTCGACGACCTCCTGGGCCTTGCTCAGCTTCTCCAGGCTGGCCTGGTCCAGCACCTCCTCCAGCAGCTCCTGCAGACGTTCCACAGAGCGCTGCAGCTCCCTCAGAACGCTCTCTGTCTCGTCGTGGACCTTGTCTGCAGAACGCTGTCATACACAGGGAGACCCTCTCACCAATTAGCTCTGACTTCAATCGGAACCTCGCATTTTTCCCGTGACCTCACCAACCTTCACCGCCTCCATCATCTTCTTCATGTCTTTCAGCTCCTGCTCCCGGACTTTCAGCCTCTGCTGGTTCTTTGTTTGGATCTCTAACAGGACTTTCTGCAAAAAAAAGATGAAACCGTGTAGAAGCATGAAAAACAAGACGAGCAAAGGGAAACACCTGTAGGTGCCACTGACGGCATTGTGACTATGGGAAGCAGCGTAATGAGACAGGAATGTTGTCAGGCATGAATTTAGAGTCATTGCTTTACAGAAGGCGTAGAGGAAGAATACATGAGGCAGAAAGCCGTTAGATATATCAATGAAAACCTCACAGGAGGGTAGACATACTGTATCCTGGAGTGTTGTACCTTCAGTACCTTGAATAAGTATTGAAATGTCATTTATTTACACAAAAACCCTCGAAATATGTTAAAGAGATTATCAAAGAACACAGTAGAAAGATAAACTTTTGACTATTTTGAAACAGTATCCTGCTATTGATCAAATGTATAAAACGGATATTTTTATTAGTTATATTTTCAGTTTGCTCAGGGCTAAAAGGAGCATAAGTCAGAAATAAATCATGACAGAACTTTAATGTCTGTGTTCAAAATAGTATTTACAGGAAGAAAACTTCACATCAGGAATCAGGTGTTTCTTAAGAAGTTGATGGAGAGATAGATGGAGCTAAATATGGGGATAAAACCAGTTGGAGACTGAAAAAGACTTAAAACTTGAGCTCTTTTTCACCTTCTAATGGGATGTCAACATGTAAAATACAACCAGGGCTAATATGAAGTGGCTTAGATCAGATTACATTGAAATATCAGAATGTTTCAGTCAAATCTGGGCCTTAACTGAAGTAGGAATCTTGAACATTGATTAAATATGCGACTCTAGATCAGGGGTCACCAACGCGGTGCCCGCGGGCACCAAGGGGCCCTCAAGGACCACATGGGGTGCCCTCTTCGTCTTCTGAAAACAGAAGAACTCACTCAGTGGGTTAAGTTTCTTTTTTTTTTATTCTGTTGCTCTTCTTTTTAATCATTTATGTATTATTTCATCATATTTCAGTGATTTCAAAATGACAAAATTAGAAATGAATAAAAGAATAAAATAAGAATAAAAATGAGTTTTTATGGACGATATTTACTCCAGTTCATAGGTCAGATTTGGTAGCCCGTCCTATGACTCGGCAGCCATGAAGTAGCCCTCAGCCTTAAAAAGGTTGG